AGGAGAGAGAGAGGGGGGGGGGGGCGTTTCCGATTAACATCGGCGATCACTGATGTCAATTCCTCTAATTGAAATGGATATATCTTTAGACAACGACCGAGCTAGGCGTGGGTCTCTCTACTTCGTGTCATTACTAAGCTTCGCGACTGCTAACCATATATAGAAGATATCAATTATGTATCAACGGCGAATTATTCATTCGCGCCGTCGTCGCGATCAGACCAGTACGAAATCGTCGAAAACACGAGTGACACTTTAATGGTGTGCGGACAAGTCGAAGTCGTCACGTTACGTTATCTTCGCTCCATTCGCTCAATAACCCTTTTTGTTCACTTAGTATAAGCCCTTAGTATTATCTCATCTCTATTTTTCCGATCAATCCATTTCTATTTTTCCAACAATCTATCGCGAAAAGTTATGAAATTCCAAAATGGGATATTTCATAAAGTATGATGATATGTTAATTACATATATGGTAAATAAATTGGTATAATAAAAAGAAACGTTTCTTAAAGGCAAGAGGGTTATAATTAATTACTTAGAAATGTGATAGTTTCAAAAAGAAACTTTACTTTTCTGTTATTCAATGCCTTTATGTTTCATCCGCGTGCCTCCGACATATCTATAATTTACAAATGCAATTTGAACTCGCACACATATCTGTTTCTCTTAGAAGGCATATAATTTTAATTTGCTTTAATCGGGAGAGATACAAGAAATGTTGCTGCACAGGGGGATCATCACAGCGCGATCATTGCACACGGGAAAAAAGACGTAAAAGTGTAAACGTTAAAATGCAGGTACGTGTAAAATACATAATTAGCGTCTACACCAGTGCATTCTCGAATACCGACATTTTCGTGCAGGTAATGAAACCCGCTATTACTTGCGTGGCGTGAGTGAAATGTATTTATGCGTACAAGTAACATTACTCTTGTTCGATTATTTTGTTCGAAGTACCCTTAATGTTTCAAAGAGAAAAGTGCCGACACGCCATAACATAATGAAACAAAGTAATTCTTTAAATAATTGTTTCCATGTAACGATGTTCCACGCGAATGTCGATCATGATATAATGCTCGTAGAGTATTCTCTGTAACGACATTACATTCGGTTTTCCGATTGCAAATATAAAGACCAGTTGCAAAAGTGTACATGTCAAAAATTAATCGCCTGTCGAAAAATATATTATTCCATTAATTCACATTAAGATTTATAATCAAGAAAAAATATATACGATAAACGATGCTTAGAAGCATTTTTCATAAAAATTGATATATGTACGTGTTATATGTTACATAACTCGATTTAATCTGCCTTTTTAATGAAAAAGAAAACATTGCGAACGATAAGTATTATAATTAACATAACGTGTGACATATACTTTGCATA